AGCCTCTCATATAGATGGTCTCGAGCTTGGGAGCAAACATCTTGGCCTCGCATATCTGTTGCAGACTCTGGAGCTCATACAGGTGCAGGTTCTTGAGGTTTGAGAATTCTAGCATGCCTTTTTCATGTCTGGCCTCTATTTTCTCCAGGAACTCTTGCTCCACGAGGAAGACCTGCTTGAGATCACCGCAAAAGTGTATGTGGAGAGTCTCCAGCACCTTGGATAAGGTATTGTTGAAGCCATCGGGAGGACATATCTGAGCCTCGGGCAGAAGTGCAGATGAATAGCCCGCAGTTGTGTAAACGATAAATCACTTGCATCCAACCTTGGATTTCTTGGTCTGCTCCAAATAGAACGGGCCATCAAGAGATGACCCGCCCAAAAGATTTCCAAATTAGAAAAGCATCTCCAGAAATAGTTAGTGGCGAAGACAGTATCCAACTTTGGGCATCGTTCCACGCGGCACCACTTGAGCCCATTCATTATTGGGCCGTCAAGGCCATCACCTGCTTGTTCAAATTCCCTAAGGGCGTGTTTGGTTGCCCGCATAAGGGTAAACCAGGCTCTCCGGATGCAGCCTGCTCATGTTTGGTTCCCTGGCCACCCTCCCGACCCAGGCTCCGCTCGTGCAAAAGCCCTCTCCTGGCCTGGCTCGCGAGGAACGCCCAAATCGGCCGTTTTTCTTCATCCTGGCTCGCTCCGTGCTCCCGCGAGCTCGCGCGCCTGGCGATTCGGTGCGCGGGGAGATGGCGCGAAGATCCTAGGGTTACCTCCCCCGTTCCCGCCATTCACCGCCTATATATCTTCCCTCCCGCCGCCTCCCTCTCTTCTTCTTCTTGTCGCTCCCCGTCTACGCCGCCGGTAAGCTCCACCTCCTCTTCCTCCTCCCCTCGGTGTTCTTGATGGATTCGTGGCCTCCTAATGCCTACCCCATATCTCGATTTGTTGCAGGTGCCGTGGATTTGCGTCCTCTCGAAGCAAGTGAGTTTTTTCCCTCCTCTTTCTCCATTTTTCTGTGCGATTTGAAACCCTAGGTCACCATTGTTTGTTGATCTCGCTGCAGGCACACCAGATCTGATTTCTTGGCTGTTATTGCGGTATGGATCCTTGTTCTTAGGTCTCATTTTGTTTTCTTGTTTTTTTCAAGTAAAAATCCTATTTTGTGTTTGCTAATCCTCTTTTCTTTGCTTGTGTGCTTGCAGATCTGAGCTCCCTCACCTATAAGGTTGGGCTTTTGCTGGTGCTGCTGCTTGTTGACGTGGGTATTTTGTATATCTACTCCCCCTCTCGCCTCCCCCCTAATCTGTACCGTGCGATAGTGAGTCATGCGTTCTTGGATTCGGATGCATGTCCTACTTTGTGAGATTATGAGCAAGTATATGAAGTTGCCATTTTGTCTGAGCTATTGTCCAAGTCTGTGATGATTCCTTTTGTCCTGAGCTATTGCCTTAGTCTATGATGATGCCTTTTTTCTGAGCTATTGCCCTAGTCTGTGATGATGAAAGTCTTATTTTTAGCATGTTCTAGTATATGATGAATCCTTTTTCTAAGCTTTTGTCCAAGTCCATGATGATGACATTGTCATTCTGAGCATTTGTCCTTAAATTCCATTCATTTTTTCTAGATGGACTTGGAAGAGAAGAGACGCATTCTTTTTGCTCGTGCTGCTGCTCTTATCACTGCTATGTATGCCCTGCTGTTTGCTAGACTTAGAATGCTACAGAGTCAGCGCCCTCAGATCAGTTATGGTCCAATGAGCATTAGGGATGAGGAGCGCCAAAGGAACTTGAACTTAATTTACAACTACAATGATATAGAGTGTGTGAACATGCTTAGAATGAGAAGGGCACCCTTTTTTAGTTTGTGCAACTTGCTTAGGGAGAAGAAGCTACTTGCTGGCAACATAAATTCTTGTGTTGAAGAGCAAGTTGCAATGTTTCTCCATATTGTTGGTCATAACCAACGATTTAGAGTTGTAAAGCAAAACTGGAGAAGGTCTATAGAGACAGTCCACCGCCATTTTAAAGATGTGTTGTATGCTATTGGTGAGCTTAGACAAGAGATGATTAGACCTCCAAGCAATGAGACACCAGTAAAGATTAGCAACAGCCATAGATGGTATCCTTACTTTAAGGTAAAAAAAACCTGTCATATAGCTGCTAGGATATTGTTGCATTAGCTCATGTCAATTTACTATGCAATTTTGGATGCCATGTAGGACTGCATTGGGGCCATTGATGGGACTCATGTATTTGCCAAAGTTCCAGCCAAGATGCAAGCTGCATTTAGGGGTAGAAAGAATGCCCCCACACAAAATGTGCTAGCAGCAGTTAGCTTTGACTTGAAATTTACCTATGTGCTGGCTGGTTGGGAGGGATCAGCTCATGATGCCACAATTCTTGCTGATGCATTACAGAGAGAGGATGGGTTGAGGGTTCCACCAGGTAATTAAATCAACTGTGATAATAAGAAGCAAATGTAACTGCAAAATGATGAATCTAATTGAACTCCACATTTGTTTTAGGCAAATTCTTCTTAGTAGATGCTGGATATGCTTGTCGGCCTGGATTTCTTCCTCCTTATCGAGGTTGTAGGTACCATCTTAAAGAATATGGGAATAGGAACTACCCAACCAACCCAAAAGAGTTGTATAATTTGAGGCACTCTAGTTTGAGAGTAACTGTAGAAAGGGCATTTGGGGCTCTGAAGAATCGTTTTCGCATCATTGACACCAACAAACCATTTCATCGCTTGAGGACACAAATCAAGCTTGTGCTTGCATGTTGTATAATGCATAACTGGATCCTTAGTTTTGGGGTTGATGAGGTTATTCCAGAAGAGTTCTCTTGGGTACCAAATGACACAAATAGTCAGCCCCATCCTGCTCATATGGATGACAATGCTGCCTGGGCACTTCAGAGGGATGAATGGGCTAATCACATGTGGGCTAATAGGGGTCTTTCTAGAATCTAGAGTTCTATTATGTATCATTAAGTTGCCTCGTAATTTATTACGTGATATTTTTACGTGATACTACACTTGATCCGATACTTTGGGCAATACCAATGATGTTTTTTTTTCGTGATACTACACTTGATCGAGACTTTGGGCAATAGCAATGATGTTTTTTTTCTATGATACTACACTTGATCTGAGACTTTAGGCAATAGCAATGATGTTCTTGTTCTGTGATACTACACTTGATCTGAGACTTGGGCAATAGCAATGATGTTTTTTTTCCGTGATATTACACTTGATCTGAGGCTTTGGGCATGTGCAATGATATTTTTTTTCGTGATACTACACTTGATCCGATACTTTGGGCAATAGCAATGATGTTTTTTTTCCTGTGATACTACACTTGATCTGAGGCTTTGGGCATGTGCAATGATGTTTTTTTCTGTGATACTACACTTGATCTGATACTTTGGGCAATAGCAATGATGTTTTTTTCCTGTGATACTACACTTGATCTGAGGCTTTGGGCATGTGCAATGATGTTTTTTTCTGTGATACTACACTTGATCGATACTTTGGGCAATAGCAATGATGTTTTTTTCCTGTGATACTACACTTGATCTGAGGCTTTGGGCATGTGCAATGATGTTTTTTTCTATGATACTACACTTGATCTGAGGCTTTGGGCAATGTGCAATGATATTTTTTCTGTGATACTACACTTGATCTGAGGCTTTGGGCATGTGCAATGATGTTTTTTCTATGATACAAAACACTGTCTTTGAGGCTCGGGCATGTGCAATGATGAATTAGGCTATGGTGAGGAGATGATGGCTGGCTGATGAGCTTGTGTTCCTCGGACTGGATGGTGGTCTTTTGGTGGTGACAATGTGGTTCTTTGGGGATGATGTGGACTGGTTTCATACAAAGCATCACAGAACTGCTTTCGCCAGAGGACCTCTCTGAGGTGGACTGAGCCCATGTCTGCCTTTGTGCTGAAGCAGATGTGCCAGCTCATTACCACTGGAGTGAGGACTGATAAGGGCTTCAAAGAAGTGCACCTGAACAAGGTGGCAAAGGCCCTACAAGAGTTCTGTGGTCATGAAGTTAGTGGTACCCAGGTGTACAACCACCTGAGGAAGTGGAGGCAGAGGTGGGTGAAACTGTCCAAGCTGAGGGACCTTAGTGGAGCTCAGTGGGATGAGGACAACTGCATGATTGTTCTTGAGGAGGAACACTACAATGGTCATACCAAGGTGAGCAAGAACCTGTGATACTACAACTTGATTTGTTAGATGACTCTTTGAAACATTTTGTCATTATGGCTAACAAGGGACAGTTCATTATGCAGGACCACCCCAATGATGCTCCACTGCTCAACAAGCCCATACAACACTACAAGCAGATGATGGTCATCTTTGCTAATGGTCAGGCAACAGGCAAGTGGGCTATGGGCTCCAATGAGCCACTTGGCACACCATCTGACTGTGCTGAGAGCTCACTGAAGACTGAGATCCTGAACAGTGGCAAGACTGTGACTCCTGAGGATACCAAGAGTGAGGGAGGAGTTGGTAACAAGAGGAAGAGATCCATGCTGGCAGAAGAGGATGTTGTTCTGTTCACTGGCATGGCAGAGGCAGTGAAGGATGTTGCTGATGCTATTAGGTCGACCAAGGTTGAGGATTCCCACCCTGAGCTGTATGGTGCTGTTATGTTTGTGCCAGGCTTCACTGAAGAAGCACTGATGTGTGCTTATGGCCATCTGCTGGACAACAAGGCCTTGGGTTCAGCTTTTGTCAAGATGTCTGACTCTCACCGTGAGCTGTGGCTAAGGACCTACTTGGCCAAGCACTACTACATGTGAAGGCTTCACAGCTTGGGGTTGATCCTTTTGTGCAGTGCCTCTTTTGTGCATACCTAACTACAGCTGGTGGATGTGTAGTGGGTTGACCTTCTCTTTTGTGCAGTTGATCTGATCCTGCATAGCTTACTTACTAACACTAACATATAGTTAGTGTCTTAGATAACCCTACACCTACAACCTAGTTAGTGGCGAAGACAGTATCCAACTTTGGGCATCGTTCCACGCGGCACCACTTGAGCCCATTCATTATTGGGCCGTCAAGGCCATCACCTGCTTGTTCAAATTCCCTAAAAATGTGTTGAGGCGCAATAGTGGTGATGGAAGAACTGTCGTGAACGTGCAACGACTGCACACTGTCCATCACACTACGTATTGCATCCCTTGCCCGCGTGCTGGACTTGTCGGTGACGTCACTAATTCCCTCGCCAATGTCCATGTGCAAGTCTAGTGGCAGAAATTGCGCTGAGCTGCTGCTACTGCTGATATCGATCTTTGCATATATCTGTTCAATGCTGACGTCATGGTTAGTTAATGACTTGGGCAGAGACAGAGCAGCAGCTAGCTGTCCAGTGCTATAATGACTGCCCATCTTTTCCTTGTGGCAGCCTCTTCCATCATCATCGCTGGTAGATGACAAGCAGAGATTCCACCTATCACATCGAATGGGTGGCCATGTCCAAAGAAACTCCAAGGACTGAAGGAACCTCATATCTGCAGCGGCAACAGATGCATGGCAATACTCGTTTACTTCGTCCTGCTGGTAGACCATCAAAGAACAATCACGTGACCATGCTGGTTTTCTGTTGTCCACCTCTCCTCCTCTTGCTCGAGTGTCAATGCACAACAGCCTTAGTTTGTACATTTTGGTTTTGGGCCAAGAAATTGAGCGGAGCTGTCCGCATCCCACCAAGAAGACCCGCTGAAGATTTCCCACTTGAACCACCTCTCCAAGCTCAAGCATTTTGACTGCTGTGTGTGAGAGGTCCAGTTCTTCAAGGTTTGGCAATGACCCACGCAATACAAAGTTTGCTAATCTTGCACACCCAGCCAAGCTGATGTAGGATATTTTAGCATTCTTCTTCTTGTGATCCTTATTGCCTGCTCCTGCAGTATTCAAGGAGAATGATTCAAGTGATGGAGGGAGTCCTTGAGGGCCAACATGCTCCAACCCAACACAACCATCTAGAATCAGTGTCTTGAGGCTAGTTGCATCCGAAAGGCTCGGCAAGACTTGCATTGTGCTGTTCCCAGATAGGTCAAGGAGCTCCAGATTCACCATGTCCTTGAATTCATCTCTTGTTGCTGTCTCCCAAGGGTTTGTGGGCTCAACTACTTGGAGCTTGTGAAGGTTCGGCAGGCGTCTCCATGCAAGGTTGCTATGCCAAATCCTTCCGTTGGTTATATGAACCTCTCTAATGTCTGTAGCCACCACTTGCTCTTCTGTTTCTGGGGGAAAAGGCAATGGCCAATCCGTGTGGCATACATCTAGCACCCATAGCCGCTGAAAAATTTCCACCGCTGGTTCACCTGTTTTCTCCTCCTCCTCCTCCTCCTCCCCTTGTTGCAGTTCATCCATGCATCTATCCAGTCCAAGGAATCTTAAGTTGTGGCAGCAATGGAATGGAGGTGATGAAAAGCTGAAGGTACATCCACATAACTTCAGCACCCGGAGTTGATCTGCTTTATGGAACTTGTCACTAGGTAATGATACTGCTCGTGGACTTGACTTGTCGGGTGCAAAGAACAATGTTGTTGTATCTGGAGCAACCTCTTTGAAATATGATTCAGTAATAGAAATCCATTGTTTTGAGGAAAGATCCAATTTCTCCACAGACCACATAAGCTCTGCATTGGATGAGTAGTCTTCTAGTCTTATATGCTGCTGCAGAGCATGAGCAACCTCCCATGTCTGGTTGTCCTGTCCTCCTCCTATGATCCCATCACAAACCCAGTAGCACGAAGCATGGGTTGCCCAGTTGTAGTCAATCATCTTCTCACCTTGGTAATTCAATGACAATAGGTACAAGCAACACTCTGTGGCTATTTTAGGTGTAACTCCAAGGCCAAGCTTTTGCATGTGCAAAGCGATTTCTCTAGCTTCTTCCTCAAGGTATGCATTCCAATTGCTGTTATGGCCATAGGCAAAAAGAAAAAGGTGTGAATTCTCTACCTTTTCATGAATTTCTCTATTGAGGCGAAGCCGTCCTCTGAAGGTCCACAGTACCTTAGTACCTAAAAATTCGAGCATTGGTATGCCAAAGCTAGCCAAGTCAACTGTGTTACTACTTCCATTGTGAAAGATAACTAAACATCTGTACTGTACTAGGTATCGACCTATCACTCCTCTTATGTCTCTAACCTCAGCTCTGGAGCCATGGTCTACCCCACTGAAATCGTCCTCCTCATCGTGCCTGTCAAAATCAGCCGCTACCTGTTGAGTGAGCTTGAGCTCGTCTGCGATCACCCTTTGCAATGCTCTTCGGCTCTTCCACATCGAACAGTCAATGTGGATGACCCTGTCGAATTTCTCTCGTAAAGATGGTGCAGGCTGCTCTGCAATAGCTCTAAGCACCGCAGAAGCGCCCAGTCCAACCCATCCGTCGAAGTAGATGACCTGAGGTGCATCGTTGCTTGTGTCCTCTAAGTAAGGAGATATTTGTTGTACTGCCGTCTTGACATCGACCGCCCTAATTTCCTGTATTTTTTGTTTGAAGCCAACAATTAACTAGTTAACGTCACTCTCACGCGACAAACACAGTGACTAGCATGAGCAGCAGAGTATCTTTCTTTTTCTTCTTCTTTTTTCTTTGGTTGGAACTTAACATGTGCTCAAAAGCAAATGAACTAATATATCTTTAGTTAATTATTGCATCGGTGATGAAAAATATTTGTGCACAAGGTTTTAAGAATTAATCAAGGTGTTTTATTTTCTAGGATGGCTAATCTTATCAGTTCCGACTCCAAATCAAATAGAATTCAGGTACGTTACTTAGAATACGGGTACTGCTCGCCACCCTTGTCTCACATGGCTGCCGCCACCACTCGCCAAGCTCCTGCCCGCCGCATGGGGCATCCAATGTTGTACTGTCACGTAGGGCGACAGTGACCACCATCACAGCCCTGAGCGCTGCCATTGACACCGTCCTCTATCGACGCTACAGCGCACGATCCGCTTAGCCAAACCGGCCGGCTGCAGCATATCGCAGCTTTGGTCCACGATGGCGGGGATCCGGTCCCCCTCCGTGCCGATCCAGCTGCATTCCACCACGTTGCTGCCCTGCCTAGGTCGTGGCTGCAAGCTGTCCGTACTTATCTAGAGCTTGGAGTGAAGAGAGAGAGAGAGAGGAAAGAATGGATGGGAAAAGGGCGTGGGAAGTTGAGGACAGGCAGCCCACGACTGAATTTGGACGAGAGATGCCACGTGAGGGGTTATTTATTTACATTATTACATATAGCAAAAATAAATGCTACAGTACTTAGAGTAGAATACAAAATTACAGATATATACTAGGTATGTTTCTCATCTCTCCACTCATTTTTTGACAGTGATTATTGCAAAAACAAAATCATTAATAATATAACTAGTTGTGATTATACAGGTTTATGTTCCCAAAGTACACACTCTATATTTCCAATGGAGTGGGTGGGTGTTTGTGGTGTTGGGGGTGGGTGATATACCATTGATATACTGATCTAGAGCTGCCCAGGTCGTGGCTGCTAGCTATCGTACTTGATCTAGAGTTTGGAGTGAGACGAGAGAGAGAGAGAGGGCGTGGGGAGTTGAGGACTTGAGGACCGCCAGCCCGACTGAATTTGAACCACAAGACTGAAGGGCTATTATATAATACAACAGAAATAAATGTTGTAGTACGTAGAATACAAAATTATGAATAGGTCTATTTGATCTGGGGACTAACAGTTAGAAAAAAAAAATAGAACGACTAAATATGGGCTAACTTTAGGCTAATAAGAGCTCATGAGGACTAATTGATGGTTGGAACTTATCACTCCTTATTAGCCTATAGTTAGCCAATATTTAACTTATTATTATCACAACACAGGCTAATTTTTAGCCTTGTGATCCAAAGAGGTATGTCTCTCATTTGTCCGCGTACTCCTATTTTGAGAGTAATTGCAAAAGCCACTGATAACAAAATTAGTCATTATCCTGGTGTATGTTCCCAAAAGTACACGATCTATATCTTCAATGTGTGTGTGTGTGGGGCAGGCATACCTCCCATTTTTTCGGCGGCATGACGAGTCTGTATATATAGAAAAGATTAGCAAACTGAAGAAGCTCCAGAGGTATTTTTGTAGCCCATATCTACTCCATCGCTTCCAGATGGATCTCCAATCCCTAATCCACAAGAACAAAATAAAGCTAATTATACATGCGTCCGGTGTGAACACATGCATGCAGGCACCTAGCTGCATATATATAGAATGAGACAAAGAGGAAAAAAACATGTGCCGAGTAGTAACAACAATATGGAATCAAGAAGCATAGAAGTTGTTAGTACCTTGGCAACTAGCTACACTGTATGTATATAAAAATATCCTGAGCTGCGATCGGAGAACACAATGCAAGAAACGGTGGTGCTGCCTGAGTCTTAAGTGTGTGCTGATCAGCAAGAGGCAGCGGCCGGACAGAGGAGAGGTAGTACTATGCGAGGGGGGATCGAGCTGCCTGCGATTAGCTCCTCGTTCCGTTGCTTCGCCAGATAAGCCTGTAACTTTTGGCATTGGCATCAAGAAAAAAGATACATGCGGCCGGGTGCTCTTTGCTTGGGGATGGAGCCAAAGAATAAAGATGGAACCGACTGTCGTCCTGCAAAGAGCAAACTCAAATAGCTTGCACAGATGACCCTTTTAATTTGTGCCATAGCTCAAACGCGGCTTCATCACAGTATAATTGGTTTGCCCGAGTTACCGGCTCATTCATGTCTGTACTTTTTAAATCCTATTATACAGTTCATTTCACCTTTGTCTCAGAGTCAAAATTTTCTAACATTGTCCATATTTTTATTTTTGGGAAAATATATATTAGATCTACAAACTCAAAAAAAATGCACAATATAAACATACTCATGGAGAATTTAAGGAAACACTAATTTGTTATTATAGATGATCACTACCGGAGACGGCTTCTTTGCCAAGTGTCCCAGACTTTGCCGAGTGCTTTTTATCGGGCATTTGGCAAATGTGCTATTTGCCGAGTGTCAAAGAGAAAGCACTCGGCAAACAACTGACACTCGGCAAAGAGGTGGTTTGCCGAGTGCCGAGCACTCGGCAAACAATAACACTCGGCAAAGGGGCTATTTGCCGAGTGTCGGGCACTCGGAAGACCAGAACACTCGGCAAAGGGCCACCGCCGTTAACGGCCGGCAGCCGCCGTTAACTCTTTGCCGAGTGTCTTCTCCTGACACTCGGCAAAGTGGTGATTTGCAGAGTGTCATTTTTTGACACTCGGCAAACCATATTTTTTTTTCACTTTTGACCTCCAAACTTTTTCTGCAGTCCTCATACAATACCTGGTACACCATGTTCCAATGTGGCATATTTCTCGGACTTTTTCTATATTTCTTTAATTTATTTCATTTAATTGAATTTTCTTGGATAATTCAAATTATAACTGCTAGTCTTCGGAGATTCTTCGGTTTGACTAGCAGTTATAATTTGAATTATTCAAGAAAATTCAATTAAATGAAATAAATTAAATAAATATAGAAAAAGTTCAAGAAATATGCCACATTGGAATATGGAGTACCAGGTATTGTATGAGGACTATAGAAAAAGTTTAGGGGCAGGACGAAAAAAAATAAAAACGGTTTGCCGAGTGTCTGCGTTTGGCGCTCGGCAAAGGAGCCTCTTTGCCGAGTACCAGTACGTATGGCACTCAACAAAGAATTAAAAAAAAATAAAAAAACCCCTCTTTGCCGAGTGCCAGGCCGGATGGCACTCGGCAAAGAATTTAAAAAAAAAATAAAAAAAATACTTTGCCGAGTGTCAGATAGGGGGCACTCGGCAAAGATTTTTTTTAAAAAAAAACTCTCTTTGTCGAGTGCCAGGTGGCACTCGGCAGAGAATTAAAAAAAAATAAAAAAAAAGTTTGCCGAGTGCGGATCGGGGCACTCTGCAAAGGGGGATTAAACCCCGCTGCCCAAATTGGCCTGCACACACCGCACACATGCACACACACACACACACACACACACACACACACACAGCAGCATGGCGCCCACCTGCCACCACGCCCCCACGCCCGCCCCACTGCCAGGCCAGGTCACTGGAGGAGGAGGAGAAAGAGAGGAGAAGGAGAGGAGGAGAGGAGGAAGAAGGAGGAAGAAGGAGGAAGAGAAGGAGGCCACCGAAGCAACGGTGCCTTCGCCTCAAGGCTCGCTCAGAAGGGCGCTGCAGCAAGCAACGCCGCTGGGGTGAGCAGCGCTGACCTGCAGCAGCGGCGACCCGCATCCGGCCATCTCAGTCGCAGCGGCGTGGTCCTGCAGCATCGGCGCTCCCTCGCAGCGCTCTCTGAGCTGAATGGTCACCTTGCTCGTCATGCTGTGCTTCGCCATTCTGTAGTGGTGAGCCCCTATGCCGTCTTCGCCTGATGGATGTGGATGCATAAATAGATTAAGATGTTTTGGTTAGGGTGCCTTCGTGGACGCCGGTTATGGTGCATAGTTGCAAACCTGAGGTTTAGCATGGATGGATTGTGGATGCATGGATTGATGTTTGTCATAAATTAATTTAGCTTATGGAATATCTGGTCAGTAGTTAGCACCTGGCAATTTTGTTTAACTGAGCATTTTAACTTGAGCAAAATACTTTTCTGCTTGTCTTTTGGATAATAAAATGGCACCTAAATATTGTAGGCTAGACTATTAATAAACTTTGTTAAGTTGTCTTTTGTTTGATTGCTATTGTTTGTTTTCACATATCTGTGATTAGATCAGTACTTTGTTATACATCATCATTCCTATGCATGTTTGTCTCCTAGAAATAAAGGATAAAAATTAGGGACTTTGCTTTCCCTTGTGTATTAAACAATGTATAACTTCCCAAAGGTCACTAAACTAACTCATACATTCTTGCTTATATGTGTTGGAGAAATATTAGACACTACCTCACTCTTTTCAAGATTTCAGTAGCATTTGTTACATTGCTAGGTGTTCCTTCGTGTACATATATAAGTAATGGGATACAGATCCTGAATTTGTAATCCCTGATCCTTGCTTATCCTGATTACGTTGATAGGTGTTCCTTACATAATCTTGTGCATGTCGGCCATCGTGCCGTTCATATATATGTGCATGTCGGCCATCGCGCTGTTGGTTTTCTTATAGGTTTTGGAAACCTCACCGTGCAGGGGAGGTGCTGCCGAAATTTTGTAATGACAGTTTTATGTTTCTTTTTTGGCAGAGAAGAGCCCATCAGAGCGGAGCCGGAGTACCTCGGCGACCCCGATTGCCTTCCTCGCCGCTGCGGGTCTAACTGCACTGCGTTGCCTCGCCACTGCACCAACCCGCCATGGCCCCGCTAGCCTGACTCCACCGCCACCCTAGGTATAAACCCTCTTTCTGTATCATGGTCATAGATCACGTAACCTAGTTAGGCGTCTCCCGTTCGAAAGAGATACGGTTGGAAATATGCAGATATTTCCATATCTAAAACCGTATCTGTTTCGAATTGTCCACGTTTTTTGGACAGCCCGCGGATGCGTAGGTGGGGTTAGTTTCCATGGTCTGCTTCGATCTGAGACAGAGTTTCGGCATCATCTCCCTGTTGTTCTCCGGATACACACTCTCCCTGGCAGGATGTGTATTTGGAGAACAGCGGGGAGGTGCTGCCGAAATTCTATCTCGGATAGGAGTAGAGCATGGAAACTAACCTCATCTACAGATCCTCGCGTGGGATTAGGACCTATCCTCACTATTAGATAGTAGGAACATTGTGTAGATGCAATTGATGTTTATATTACTCGCCGCTATATATGTTAGAGGATGGAGGACCGTGAGTGGATGTACACGGGCCGCGCAAGTCAGGGTCAGGTCACCAATGAATGGATCGACACGACCGATGCTTTATTGGAACGGGCATTTGGCGTGGCTACTAAAGGAGAGTAAAATTTGCT